TACATGATCTAAATAAGCCAGAAAGACAATTGCTACATGATCTCACTCATATTTAAATTTAAAATAGTTAAACTCATAGAAGCAGAAAGTAGAATGGTGGTTGCCAGGGGTTTGGGGGTGGGAGAAATGGGGAGATGTTGGTCAGAGGGTACAAAGTTTCAGTTATGCAAGATGAGTAAGTTCTGGGTATCTGATGTACAGCGTGGTGAGTATAGTTATCAATGCTGTATTGTATACTTGAAAATCACTAAGAGTGTAGATCTTAAATGTTCTCACCACACATACCCACATGCAAACAGTAACTGTGGAGTGATGGGTATGTTAATTTCTTTGATTATAGTGATCATTTCACAGTATATACCTATATCAGACATCAAGTTATATACCTTAAATGTCTGCAACTTTTGTTTGTCAGCTATACCTCAATAAAGCTGGAAAAAAAGGAATACATTGTTTCTGAATAGTATTTATTTTTGCCCTAATCAGGTATTGCTTTATAGTTAAATGTTATCATAAACACTTACATTTAAATGTATTTATATCATTAAACTTCTTGAATATCTTCTAAAGTATATTATTTAGGATTTATGACGACTTATTTCCTACAAGGCATGAAAAAATTTTTGTTTTAATATGCATGGGATGGACTTCAGTTTCCATATTGTGATAGTTTATGGACACCAGTAGAGGGAGCTCCAGCGCATCTTTCTTGGTAAATTTAGCTCAACTTGATCATGTCGGTTTGTGGAGAGGGCACAAGTAGAAATAAACTTAAATAACACATGGTTATAAACATTTTCAAAGGTACTCAAGAGTGACAACTGTAATTCTTCTTACCTTCTAGGGGGAAAACAATCTCAGTTGGATTTCCATGCTTTTAAGTTAACGACCCTTAAATAACTAAACAAAGAGCTTGTATGTAGTGTAATCCCTTGTAAGGGGCCCATTAGACAGCCCAAGACTTTTAAAATCTAGAATCTGTGTCTGGTCAGTTGAAGAAGAGGAGGAAGAGTGGTGGTGGTAATGTCATTGTTCGAAGTGAGGCTAAATAAAATAAAATTTTAATACTTGGTAGATGGTCCCAGTAGCCATGTCATAGTAAGGTGAATTGCTGAATCATTGCAAAGAACAGGAAGAGAAAGAAAGTTTTCATTTTACTTAGCGCCCTTATGCATTCGAAAGTTTTTTAAAACCCAAATCTAGATTCTAGAACCTTTGTTCTAGAACCTTTGTTCCTAACTAGAGGGCTGGACCTAATTACTACCTCTTGGTTTCTTTATAGACCCCAGAAGAAAATACCATGTGAGGCTGCTGGCTTACAACAACATAGAAGATGGCTATCAGGCGGACCAGACAGTCAGTACTCCAGGATGCGTGTGTAAGTAAGAGTTACAGTAGTTTGTTTCACCATGTAAGACACACGCTCCTTTTTCTCCTTTTCGTTCTTTACATTTAAGTCTCATTACTACTTGCACACCTTGGTGGTTTTTATTACTTTATATTCTCCAAGGTGCCTAACATTCTATTTTGAACAAGTACGTACTCAGTGAGATGTACTTAATTATAAGAACCTATTTTTGTTTTGCATGCAAAAGACCATTAGAAATTTAACTGGGAAAATAACCCAGAATACTTACATACACTAAGTTTTCTTTTATCTCCTTTAATCTTGAGGCTAATTCTTTCCTTCCAGTTGCTGTTCAGTTTTATTGCTACTAAGAGCTGTTTGGTTTTATTGCTACTAAAGAGGATGTGGGTCTTGTTTTAAGCCTATGGCTGGCTTTCTGAATGTCTCTGGCTGGTAGCTTGACTTCTCTGTGCTTCTGTTTTACATTCTAAATATTGATAATGTTTAATTCCTTATCTAACTCATGGAAGAGTCATTTTGGTTTAAATGATATATCGCTAAACCACAGTGAACCTGTGGTGGAAGAAAGACCTAAAGTCAACTTATGGGAGGAGGGGACGTATTATGATTTTACCATTTTTCTACCTTCTACATTAAACGTTACACCATGCAGTAAATTAACATTGTCTTTTTCAATAGCTGTCCGTGATCGCATGGTTCCTCCTCCACCACCACCCCACCACCTCTATGCGAAGGCTAACACCTCATCTTCCATATTCCTGCACTGGAGGAGGCCTGCGTTCACCACGGCACAAATAATTAACTACACCGTCCGCTGTAACCCTGTTGGCCTGCAGAATGCTTCTTTGGTTCTGTACCTTCAAACGTATGTAGCTTCTATTAATGGTTGTTTTCTTCGCTCTCCTCCCAACTCGCTCTTCCTTCTTTACCATCTTGGGCCAGCTTGAGCTCCAGCGGGAAGCATCTGTCTCAGGACTTGTCTTACTTATAAAGTGGTGGGAATGGTGCATCTTTACCATATTCAGTTCTGAGACCTGTATTTTTTGAAATTTAATTTCCATGAACAATTTTTTGTTGTTGTTTCCCCAGCCTCATGGAGCAAGATTAGGCAAGAAGCTATTACTCATTTCAAGTAGCTAAACTTAGCATGTTTAAGGAAAGAAACAAGACCATTTTCATGCTGCCATCAAAAAATGAAGCTCATTATTCTGTTTTCTAGATCATAGTTAGAAAGATAGCCATCATTATGCTTTAAAAGACTGGTTTGACTTCCGGTATTTCACAGGAAGTCCTTTTGTATTGGGACATTTCTGTCCTGTTAATTTCCCAGTTTCCTCTCAAAGCAGTTTTTAGGCTTATTTCTATAACACCAAATGTAATATTTATTTATTTATTTATTTATTTATTTAAACAAACAAACACCTTTATTGTGGTATGATTTCCTGTGAAGTAAATCACACATACTTAAAATGTACAATTTGATTAATTTTTGATAGGTGTATACACCAATGAAACCACTACCACAGTCAAGACCAAATGTAGCATTTTAATAGTCAAATTAGATTGCTCTTTAATTTAAAAACATTTTCTTAAGAAAATGAGGAGGTAGTGAATAATAATAGTGTGCCCTAACTGTATTGATTGGAAATACTGACCATCTTTTAGAAACCATGTGCTACCAGCATTAACAACTTCATTCCTCATTATCATAGATCAGAAACTCACATGTTGGTTCAAGGTCTAGAACCAAACACCAAATACGAATTTGCTGTTCGACTGCACGTGGATCAGCTTTCCAGTCCCTGGAGCCCGGTTGTCTACCACTCCACGCTTCCAGAAGGTAAAGAAAGCAGCTCCCCTATGGGTTTTATCTACATGTTAAAGTATATACATATATAATATATGTGTGTGTGCGCGTGTGTGTGTGTCACTTTGAAGAAGATACTGCCATGGTTGCTACCTACCTGTTGAAGTGTATGTATTTGTTTTCTTTAGTTTCTTAACTTTTGAAATTTCTGTTCCTTTATTGTAGTAAAAACATTTTCCCTCTCAATGTATTGCATAAGCAGGTGGGCTTAAATTTAGTGTCTCTTTAGGGAATGCTGCATGTTCTAAAATCAGGTGTGCCGTGCAAGGCTGCACCGAAATAATTTAAAATGGAAATAAGTGAATAATGTATTTAATGATGTTAGGAGCCCGCATTAGAACCTAATGTGAGCTCCTAGCTTGGTGCTGTGCGTAGTGCAGTGGAGACGAGCACCAGTTTTGAGGCTTACCTACAGCACTTGATACAGTATTCCATGTCTCAACCTGCTTTTCCTTTTCTCTACAGTGAGGTCTACATGATCCATCTGTAAGGACCATTGCAGCTCTATTTTAATGATGCCGAGAGAAGGCAGAGGGCGTTTATTTCAGTGAGCACTGGGCTGTTTTGCTAAGGTTTAGGCAGTACTCCATATGCAGTGTGACACCCAAAACAAGTTCCTCACACTTTTAGCATATTGAACATGGGGTCAGCTAAAATCCCTAGACTTCACTACCTTTTCATAGATAAAAGTTATTAGTCTAAAGTCTGTCTTATAAGCTCACTGATTCACAACTTTTTGGAGAAGAAGTAAATATTTTGGTCTCATTAGTATTTTCTTCACTGGTTTCCTAGAGCAGATTAAGTTTACATTCTGTGCATTTTAGTAAGAAACACAGAGTGGATTCTATACCTAATAGGATGCCTAACAGGCAGGTGCTCCTGGTGGAACTGTACACCTTTCTAGTCGTCAGTGTGGCAAAACAGTATGAAGAGCCCTAAAAATGCTGACAACCTGCAACTTAGTAATTCCTCGTCTGGGAATCTACCATCTCCTTTGCTTTTTTTTTTTTTTAGCGTTTTAAACATTAGGCTTTCAGGTAAAGAAGAAAAAAATCATAATCTGCTGTTATCACCAGTGAGCTATGAAAGCTGTGATTTTGAGATGTTTTTATAGTGGTTTCTAGTTTTTCAAACTCTTTTCTATGCCCGCCTATCAGTCCGTTAGCCAGGTATTTGAGTCTTTATGACCATTATCTCCTAATAACACAGTATTTTCCACGTGTGTGCACAGCACCGGCAGGCCCACCGGTTGGAGTAAAAGTGACGCTGATAGAGGATGACACTGCTCTGGTGTCTTGGAAACCTCCTGACGGCCCGGAGACGGTTGTGACGCGCTACACTATCTTGTACGCATCCAGGAAGGCCTGGATTGCAGGAGAGTGGCAGGTCCTACACCGCGAAGGTAAATAGGATCATAAATTACCAAAGGGGACAAGAAGTAAGATGATCAGTGATAAGGAAACAAAGGGAAAGAGAGGGATCTAGAGTTTGTTTTGAAGGTATAATTATGAAGTAACCAATTAAGGATTTGGGTTTTGTTCAAAGGCCATTGGGAAGCCATCCACATACTGCAAGCATGAGCATGATTTGCATTTCAGAAAGATCACTCTGAGTATTGTGAAGAGAAGAGGTTTGGTAGAGGAGGACTAGGGGCAAGCATGATACAAGGAGACCAGGAAGGAATTGTGATCTAGGAAAGAGATGAGAAGCCTGGATGATGGTGGCAAGGATTGAGGTAGAAAGGAGAGGGTGGTTGAAAGAGATCAAGGAGGTGAAATTAACAGGACTCGGTAGCTAAAGGAGGGAAGGAGAAGGGGTCAGAGAGGGAGAATTGCTACAGGTGAGTAGTAGATTTCCAGGGGTTGTGTGTCTTGCGCTGGAGTAGCTGACGCCGGAAGAAGACCTGATTTAAAGGAGAAGACCTTTGTACGGCTACAGAAATGGTCCACGTGCAAATGAATTGACCCATGTGGATGTCACGTCCACCTGAGTACTGGGGGAAGCTGATTAGGGCTTAAGAACGCTAAATCTAAATTTTTTACACCAATTTTGTTTTGGCTGAGAGAAACTGAATTGTAGAACTCACCATTCTTATTTCATGCTTTTATCAGAATGCCCTTTTAAAATTTTTGAGTCTTTCATTTGGACAAGTCCCAGATGCCAGTTTTTAGATGGGCCATCACATGAATAGAATAATTTCATTATTTTGGCACTTTCTAAATTCAGACACGCATGCTGGGAAAAGAACAGTTTTCCAAGCAATTAAAAACTTAAGCATGATTTTGAGAAGGAAATTTGTTGGCAGTCTGCATATTCTAACCACGTTACAGTACCAGGCACTTCCACTTCCACTTTACCTTTAATGCGGAATATTTACCCAATTAAAAGAATGTACTTCAAGGCCACTTACCTGGATGTAATGAATATATAACGCTTTTTGTGACTATAAAGTACACAGTAACTGTAGCTGGCATTTTGATAGTTATGTATTCATATTTTTCACTAAGCAAATGCCCCGCTAAGTAATGATTTCCTAGTCACTGAAGAGCCTGGAAAGTAATACGTGCTTGCTACTAATACAGTTTTTCATTTTACCCATTGTCCATCACTGCCCTAACAAACCACTCTAAAATTCAGCCATTGTATTTTCGCACAATTCTGTGAGTCAACAATTTGGACTGGGATCAGCCAGGCAGTTCTGTTGGTCTCTCCTCAGGTCACTCATGAGGCTCTAATCATCTCAGGGTTTCAGCTGGGCGTGGGTAGCTTACAAACAACGAGACAATTCCAGCATAAGGAAGACAGGGAGGAAACCCCAGGTACAGAGCTTGCAAGCCTCTGCCTGTATCACATTTGCTAACAACCCCCCTGGCAGAGCAAATCACGTAGACAAGCCCAGCCGTCAGTGTGGGAAGGGAGTGCCCACAGGTGTGGAGAGATGGAGGCACGGTTTATGCAGGGCTTTTCGTCTTACGGTCTACCCCGATATTCTTAAAATATATAATTCAGTTTTCACTGATTAATTCCAAAATTATGTATTGACACAACGTTTGGCCAAGTGACTAACCTGATTTAAGGAGTGTTACTTATAAGTACTAATAACAAATTTTGATCACTTGAGCACATACTTCCTTTAGCTCTTCATTTGTACCTACCTAGAAAAAACCAGTATTTTGGTTTGGTTCCTTTTAACGCATTCATTTGTCAATTTCAGACAAGGCTCAGAAAACAAAATTTTGCCTTACTGATGGTGCAGTAGTGAAATGGGTTGTAATCTCAGGTTTTACTTCTATATAAGCCTTTCTAACTATGTAAGAGTGCATGAGGGAAAAAAATCTATTTTTGCCTTTATGCCGCTTGTGTAATTTTAAGAAATATTATCAGGGAAAAGCTTTTGTCTTTTACTAAATGTAGGGAACCTTTTTCATAGCTAATGCTAGTAATTCATAGAGAACAAAAGAAACAACGTAAGAAGCAATTGTGTTTATTTTGTTCAGAGAGAAAAATATAAAAAGTTTGAGTTACCCACTTCTAAACAAAAAGCAGAGAATGCAGCATGGCATTTAAAGAAAAAAACTTTATTATGGCAACTTTTGGAAAGGTAATGGTGTAGAAAAATATAGAGGGCAAAAGAGGAGGAATATCAATATCTCTTTCATATTTATCTATTAATCTTCTATACATAGTATGCTTATACACTTATGTATATAATTAATTTACATATTTACTGCCACATGGAACAGAATTGTTTGCATTAGTTAAAACATTTTTAAGATGTTCCTGGTAACCGTGTATTTGTGGCTAAAATGGGACATGGATAAATAGTTTAGCAGAAGTGTGACATGAAATCATAATTGAAAGTGGATCAGAAATTACAGCCTTTACCTTCCTGATATGATATAAATCAGCACAAAGTACTCAGTTATTTTTAAATCTACAGGGTGTGCTGTAAGAAATCACTCTCTACTACAGCAATTTCTGTCCCTCTTGGTGTTGTTTTCCCAAGAACATAAATGTGCCCTCCTTCAAAAAAAAAAAGTTCCGTAACAAAATAAATTTGAGAAACACCATATGCCATTTCCTCCTATTAGAGATTCATATTGGAAAATTAAGTCTTTGAGTAAAGGAACTCACTTAACTTAACATTTGCCAAATGCCTTGGATTACTGATAGTAAGAACATATTGATTTATTAAATGGCTCCTTATTGAGTGATTGCTATGTGCCAGGCTCTTTTCTGGGCATTGGCAATACCACAGGGAACAAAACCATGTCGATTTCTCATTGGAGCTTACATCTCAGGTAACAAACAAGTATGTAAATGTTCAGGCAGTGTCCTAGTGCTATGAAGAAAGCTGCAGTAGGGGAAAGAACAAAGTGGTGCAGTCAGTGAGCCAAGTTCTTTTGGAATAGACGACATCTGAGCAGAGCCGTATGGATATCTGGGGAAAGTGCACGGGCCCTGAGACAGAAGTGTGCTTGGCGTTTTAGAAGAGCACGAAGAAGGCCAGGCAGGCTAGAGTGAGGGGAAGAGTGAAAGGGTGGGAAATGAGGTGGGAAGGTAACCAGGGGAAGATCTTGTAGGCCAGGCCATGTGGACCACAGATTTTATTCTCGGAGAGATGGAAGCCCTTGTGGACTTTTGATCAGGTTTACATTTGTAAAGGATTGCTCTGGCAGCGCCTAACAGCCTCCCTGAAAAGGTGATTATAAGGAGGTAAGAGTAGAAAAGTTGGGAGACCATTTAATATGCACGTGTCCGTGTGAGAGTTAATGGGGGTTTAGGTAGGAATAATAATGAGGAAAGGAAGAAGAAACTTAGTAATCTGAAAGAACATCCTATTGATTTGTCACAGATTGATGTGGGATATATGGAAAAAGAGAAGCAGAATTAGTGGAGGAAGTCAAAAGTTTGGTTTCAAACATGTGAAATTTGAGGTGCCGCTTAGATGTCCAGGTAGAGAGGTTGAGTAAGCGGTGGGAGGGTTAAATTCCTGGGAGAGGGGACCAGTGGTGTAACTTAGAAGTCATCAGTGTGCAGGTGACATTTAAGATGGTGGAACTGGAAGAAAATCACGTTAGAGAGAGTGGACAGAAGAGAGAAGGGTGTGAGACTGCCTTCTGGGGTGTTCCTCCAACCTCAAAATCTTACCCTTTTCTTTTCTGTATTAAATGAACACTCTTTTGGTAACAAATGGCTCATATTTTAATATATGTTCAGTTGGTATTTACTGAGGATCATCTTGTACAAAGTGTTACGCTAGCCACCTTAAGCTGTTCAAATGTGAAAAAGAAAATTTTCGGTCCTCCAGAAAGGGAGATGGGGAGATCAGAAGTGAGGAAAGAGGCTTACTTTCATTGAGTCTATTCTCTTGTGTCAGACACTTGCCCATGGTAGTTTATTTAATCCTTGTTACAATTCTGTGAGGTGAGGATATGGCCCCCGCGAGGGAAGGGAAGTTCAGTGATGTGCCCCAGGTTGCAAATTACTCAGTTGGTAACACACCAGAATTTGGTCAACATTGGTCCAACACTGAGCCTGTTACACTGTCTGGTTTGTGAAACTCCTATAGTCTAGCCAAAGATTCAGACACATATAAAATGCTGTGGACTGAAATAATCACAGTGACTAGGACTGAGACAGTTTGCTGAGAGACTATAGGGATTGATCACTTTACTGTTTGGGAAATGCTTTAAATGTGCAGAATGAGAATGTAATAGTTAGCTTTTTTTCTCTCTGTGGGAGGAAGGGGAGCATGCATGTACATACACACACACAGCTCATCTGCTTGTTAATTTTAAATTAAGTGAAATAATTTTAATTTCAGGTGGTGATTGGCTTTGCCAAGCATTTTCTAAAATTAAATATAAAGTATTCTATAATAAAATGGAAAGGCAATTTGTCTATTTGTGAAGAAATCAAAATGTTATTCCTTCTAGCTAATTGTAACATGTCATAGTACATCGTTGCTTTTTATTTCACATGCCTAAGGACACATAGGAGTGGAAAGATTCTTCCTGATTCTAAATAGGGGTCAGTTTGTTTACTTAACACTTGTGACTCAAGTAGCTCACACTCTGTCCAGGCCAAGCTGAAACCAGAGCACATGAAAACAGTGTTCAGCTCCTTGCACTGCTGCTCGGTTTGGCTGCCTCCCACCATGTGACCCACAGATGTGGCCTCTGAATCATGACCTCAGCTCTCAGATCACCCGACACTTCACTTGCGTAATGAAATATACTGTAGCAGGTGCACTAGAAGAGCCGGCTCTGGGCTGGAGGTGACAGCTACAAGCTATTGCAAGTGCTCTGAAACGACCGTTAAGGATGCCCTGCGTCAGGAAAAAATGAGAAGAAATCACCGCAGGGAAGCTCAGTTTCCCTATGAACATCCACCCACAGATGCAGTGCAGGGACAACTTCCTGGCTGAATTTCTGTTACACCTGCTCTCTTAACATTAGGACTAGCTACTAAGGTGTGAGTCCTTTTGTAAGAAAAAACACTTCAGTGCCATGGCAGAACGAGTGCAGAAAGACCCCTCGAGAAATAGCAGTGCCCAAATGTGACTCCTTAGCAGTCATGCCATCAGAGAAGATACCTTTCAATACCAAATGTCTATCCATTCAAATGATGGTGACTTTTAGAGAGAAGTAGACGCCAGCCAGATTGTTGGTGCTAATTTTAATAGTCAATCTGAGATCTAGATCTCTAGCATTCTGAAGTTCCGACACAACTCTGGCATTTTCTTGCCTGTTTACATCCAAGAACTCTTAGATAATGATTAGGAGGTTGAAAATACATTCATACTTTCAGAAGTGATTGTGTTGTTTGTAATTTGTCTATCGCAATTACCATAAGTAGTTTAAACATTCCTAAAAGAAAAAAAAAGGACTTTCACATTGGATTTTTAAAATCTAATTATAATTGTTGAATCTGAGTTCATTATGTCATTTTCTCTTTACCTATGTTTGAAATATTCCATAATAAAATGTTTTCAATGCTGTTTGTATCCATACCTATATAAAGAGTGAAACATTATATATATGTTTATAGTTTTTTGGTTAAAAAAATAATCCAAACAAAAATACATACTGCTTTTACAAGCTACTCTTAATACAAAATTACAAGGAAGAATTATATATTTATAGGGGCAGTGTGCATGGTGTAATGTTAAATTAAAATTCTAGGATATAAGAATGGTTGTGGTAAATATGTACTCATACGTGTATTGTACACACACAAATACACCAAAATGTTAACAATAGGAAATTGTCATTTTATTCATACTTATCTTTATTTTACAAACATTCTACAATAAATGTATTACTTTTAGAATCATAAAAATAAGACCATGTTTGTGTGATTGAAAGAATGAATAAAAGATAAAGTTTGCTTAATTTGTAATTGATATATTTATAGGGGCAATAACCATGGCTTTGCTAGAAAACCTGGTGGCAGGAAATATATACATTGTCAAGATATCTGCATCCAATGAAGTGGGAGAAGGACCCTTTTCAAACTCTGTGGAGCTGGCAGTGCTTCCAAAGGAAACCCCAGAATCAAATCAGAGGCCCAAGCGTTTAGATCCTGCTGATGCCAAAGGTCGGTATGCTGCCGTAGTCACTGATTTTCCTCAGGGAAAGAAAGTACACGTGCTGTTTTCCAGCTCCCCATGCTTTGTTTCCACTCCTACCATGGCCATGTCCCCACACCTGGTCTCGGCTCCTTGAATTGTTGCTGGTGAGGTTCTGGGGCTGTGGAGCTGCGTGGCTCGCTCTGCACTCCTAGGAGATAGGCTTCAGCTCAAAATTAACTGCAGTTTTCAGACCACTGTGTCCCAGTCTTCTTTTCCCAGCTGTGCAGCCACCAAGACAGAGGAGCCACACCACCCGTGAACTGGTGGGAGTAGGCATCCTGGGAGGTTTCGTGGAAATAAATAGCAGTGGTAGTTGTGGTGTTCAAGCTAAGGAGAACATGGTTTTCATTAAGTGTTCACCACAAAAGAAAAAAAGAAAAGAAAAAAGAAAGCTTTTCCAGAGAGAAAGTTGTTTCTCTTCAGAAAGCAATTGGAAAGAATACCTTTAACGAGCCACTCTCACTCCACTCAGGGTATCGTCCTTCTGTTCTCAAGAAACCGGGGGTCCCCTGTGATACAGGACTAGACGCCTCCTTTTCCTCCTCTGGGGGAGGTGGCCTGTATGGGGATGAGGGTGTGACGGGGACAGCTTTAAAGGCAGGAGATGCCAGCTGAACTCGGGATGGGATTAAGGGCTCTTAATTCCCCAGAGAATAGTCATTCAGTATTGTGTGTGTTTGCGGGGGGGCAGTGAGGGTAGAACTGGGAAGGAGGGAGAGAAACAGAACACGGCAGGACAGTCAGATTTAAGCACAGGAAGAAGGTAGCCACAGTAGATACAGTGTCATCAGGGGAAGCTGAGAGCAATACGTTGCTAGTCAAAGTGTCAAGGGACCAGCAGTGTGAATTATCACCTGAGAGCTTACTAGATGTGCAGAATCAGGGACCCAGATGTAGCAAATCCTCTAGTGACTCTTATGCACATTGAAGGTTGAGAAGCACTGCTATGTAAATGAAAATACATAAATGGAAAACTAGTCTGCAGTTACAGATCTACTTTTAGGGTAATATGCCAGGAAAGCTATCCTTTGGTCCATCAGTGAACATCTGTGCTTTGCACCTTTTAGCCTTATACATTGTGAACTGATGTTCGTGTTTGACATAGTAATATAATATCTAGAACTCATATTTAGAGCCTTCGATATGAGAAGATAAACCAATTTTAAGATTACTGATCAAAGAGTAATCTGTCTTTTCTGCTTAGACACAGATACTGTCAAAAGGTTTCCTGTAAGAGGAAGAAAAATTACTGAAAAGCTAATACCTGAGAATTATGATAAAATGGAATCCTTTATTTTTCTGACTGACTCTGAGTACATGTGTTTCCCCTTCTAGTTTATTCAGGCTATTACCATCTGGACCAAAAATCAATGACCGGCATTGCTGTGGGTGTCGGCATAGCCTTGACCTGCATCCTCATCTGTGTTCTCATCCTCATATACCGAAGTAAAGCCAGGTGTGTTTCCGCTGCTAGAGATGCTGCAATGGTTAAAAGAAAAAGAAATTTAAATTACAGAAACTACAGGAGCAAATTGAAATCAGGCGCCTTTTAGAGTGCTTGATTTCAATTTAAAATGAACATATTATTACTTGAGTTCTTAGAGCTGTAGAGATATGCTCACTTTGGAAAGGATTATTCTCTTGCCATTTGAAAAAAATTACTGCGCCAGCAGCATATTCTTAAATGAGGACCTAGTTTTCCTCATTTCCGTGGTATTTTGAGAATCACAAAGTATATCCTTTGACTTTTTTTTTCTTTTTGAAAAAAATGGCACACTTAATCTGATGTATCTGCTGGTTGAGAGGATTCCTTACTGTCTGGAATGTTTTCATATTTAAGTAGTAGCCTGAAATGCCTGAGTCGCTTGAGAGCTCTACCCTCACCACCACAGGGCACATGGTTGGGATTCTCCAGACAGGGGTTAAAACAAAAGTAGTAACTAGGGATTAGTTCTCTGTAAACTCTTGTCAGGCAGTTTCGCCTGTGGTTTGACTTCAGCTGAATTCTCAGCATTCAGTGAACTTGGCTGTTTCTAACCTTTTATATTTTGGCTTTTGCTTTCATTTATTTTCTTCAGGTTTTTACTAAATTTAAAAAACAAAGTCAAATACACATCATTTTTAGGTAATGTTCATCACTAGACTCTCCATTAGCACAGGTTTTTCAGAGTTTATTCTATATGTGTTTGGTACTTGTACCTAGAAACATACTCAGAAAACATATTTTGTTAATGAAAGAGTTCTAACATTTTTTATATATGAAACTGGCTTAGTTTTACTGATGCCCAAATCTTGCAGAAGTACTGTTGTAAATTTGTCATCATTAATTGTTACGTTACTGTGACAATCTTCAGACCTGCAGGAGAACATGTAAATTTAAAAAGATACCATTTCTGCATAAATTGTAATCAACAGTAATATAATAATAGTTACTTTATAAATATTAAGGTTTTTACTAAGTGTTTGTAAAAAGTAATTTTATATAAGCAGAGATTGGGGCAAAAAGACATAAAGAAGTTTTCTCAAGTCTTAAAAGTTTGCAGCACTGTGTTGGAGTTAAAATCTAGTACTCAGTATAGTGCAGGGAACTATATTCAATATCTTTTAATAACCTATAATGGAAAAGAATCTGAATAAGAATATATATATATGTGTATATATATATATATATATATATGTATATT